CCATAAATTTGGAGAATCATCTTATAATTTCGGTAATGAAAAATTACTACATGATTGTGGGATTATTTACCTAAATGATAAGCCATATATTTTATCTATTATGACCGCAGGTACTAGTTTTGAAAATTTACAGACCGTCATACAATCTATTTCGAAGATAATATACAATCATGTGAACAGTCGCAAACAAAAAAAAATATAATTTCGAATTTATTTTTTTTGTGAATCATTGTTCGACATATTTAAGAATATCGAGTCTATCAGCCATGGATGCTAAATCAATCCTAATGCTATTAGGAAATTAAAACGTAGATATGAGTAAAGGGATGCTGAACAATCCTGAAGCAGTTCAGGACGGCATGACGCCGAGTAATTGTCATGTCTACGAACTCGCTAATGTCAAAACATAAAACCGTCTTTAATTAAACGTCATGACCCGCCACCGCCTACGAGCAAACGTCATCCTGAACTGGTTTCAGCATCTCTCATACGGATGCTGAAAAAGAGGGATGCTGAATAATCCTGAAGTAGTTCAGGATAGCATGACCCTAGACTACCCGAAAAGTCCCAAGACTTTCCGGAAGATGTAATTGGAAAAATATTGTCATATTTTAACAATTACATCTTATTTTATCTTTAAATTCCATTTTTTTTCACAAATTTCCCAACAAATTAATTTTTTTCTTGGTTAAATACTTGACATAAAAATAATATTTCTCTATCTTTACGACTTTAAAAAATTAAACTTTTATTAAGAATAAAAAAAATGAATTTAAATCATAAACATTTTTTAATGTCAATGCCAAATTTTTTAACATCAAATTCTAAACCAAAATCAGTTTCTATATGAAAAAGAATTCTACCCCAACTCTTGGTCAGTCGTGCTGTACAGCGCATTTTACGACGCCAAGAAAATCGAACAACACCTTACTAAAAACCACCCTACTTCTATTGGTAGGTTTAGTGAGTTTTAGTACAATCTCTGCACAGTATTCTGGTACTATAAGTATACCTAGTGGTAGCTTTACTGGTACGAATGCGCTTGGTGTCTTGATAGATTCCCTCAACCAATATGGTTTGAGTGGAAATTTGACGGTCACTTTGACAACGGCTCAGACTGCTCCTACCGATGGATATAGTTTAGGGAGCACGGCTCTCAATTCTTCTATGGCAGGAAAGACGCTCGTATTCAATGGAGGTGGCAATGTCATTACGGCTCAGACAGGAACGAGATCTACTACTTCTACATTGGCTGGAAGTGGCAATATAGATTTTATCTGGTGTCTGAGAGGTACAGATAATGTCACTATCAATAATTTTGTTTTTACAGACCCAAGTTCAAATACGTCCACTACTACCGCCATGGAAGCAGCAGTAGCTTGTTTCAATATGGGAACAGCCTCTTCTTCAGCGGATGGATGTCAAAATATTTATGTAACGAACAATACCTTTAATTTACTTAATCTTGCTACTCATTCTAATTGTGTATGGGTAACTCCCTATACACGATGGTCTACGACGCTAGCTACCTGGGGTAGCCCAGATGATCAGCATAGAAATATCAACATCACTGGCAATACCATGAACGAGGGTTATAACTTCTGTATGGTAAGAGGATCTACCAATATTGATCAGCGCTTACCAGTGGTTCGTATCAATAATAATACGGTATATAAGCAAGGGGGAGGTACAACTGTATGCTACGGTCTAGGTACTTATTATGTTGACTCAGTGCAAATGAATAATAATACAGTATTTCAGGACTCTTTACAATCTACTACATCTTATCAGCTTTATCCATATTTTTATGGTGGATATGGAGAGACAAAAAACAACCAAGTGACCTTGAATCGTGGGACTACGTCTTCGATTACGAATTATGGTATATATAGTTATTTCTATAACTATGGAAGTCAAGTGCCACATGATTCGAGATACGTTATTCGAAATAATGATATAAAATTCAATTACGGACCTGCTATTACTGCTACTACTGGAGGTACAGAATATGGTATTTATAGTTATAACTATACCTATAATACGAGTGATGCCACTAATAAGCGTTCTCTAGGTCTTATAGATAGTAATAAGATAGAAAATGATACTATTGTAGGCTCACCGACTTTTTATGGATACTTTATCATTTCAAGTGGTAACCCAAATGCATTTGCCGTCAAAGTTTCTGATAATAAACTAGAAAATATAGTACGAACAGGAAATGGTGGTACTACTTATGGTATTTATACTTATGGCTTCTCTGATTCAGCTATATATGAAAGAAATACAATTCGAAATTTCATATATTCTCCAGCGGCTTCGGTCACAGGTACTGCTACCTTTTATGGAATTGGTGCCTACTATAATGTCGCCGGCGTTAAACCCCATATTCGCAATAATACTATTGAGAATTGTGGAGCAGTAGGTCCTAGAAGTAGTACTTCTCATAATATTTATGGTATAGGATTTATTTCTACTTCTAATGGTACACAAGTTTATGACAATAAAATACATAATTTATATGTAAGGTCTACTACTACTGGTGGTGGAAATGTGTATGGTCTATATAATGGGTCTGGTCACAACAATTTAAGTATATATAGAAATGTATTTGATAGTTTCCAAGTGACCACGACGAGCACGGGTACTACGGGCAATACTGCTGGTATTTATAACGCTAGTGGTGCGACAGCAGATGTATGGAATATATATAATAACTATATTGGTGATTTATTTAGCCCTTCGGCTAGTAGTACTGTATCTATGCATGGTATCTATAATGGATCAGTTACGAGTATGAATATATGGAATAATACGATACGTATAGGGCGCACAGGTGCTGTGACCTCTAGCTCTGCTAGCTTCGGTGGTGCAGGTATCTATTATCCGAATAGTACTACTGCTATGCATAATGTACGAAACAATATAATTGATATCAATGCTACACCGGGTAGTTCGGGTAACTTCGCTTGTATTAAGCGAGCGAGTGGTACACATGGTACTAAGCCGGTAAACTATTCAGGTAGTAATAATACATTTAATATAAACTCTGGTACACGTAACTATTACTACTGTGAGAATACGAGTACGTCGGTGACCAATGGTTATGCAGAATGGGCGACCAATGCTTCATCGACCAATGATGCTGCTTTTGATGGACCATGTAGTGCTTATAAAACATTCATGCAGGGTGAAGCCGCCACGGTCTCTAATGCAGAAACATGGGTAGCTGGCCCTGTAGCCAATACATTTAGACCTTCTGGTACTACTATTTCTGAGAGTTCGGCCGCTCCGTTAGCTCTCATAGCTACTGACCTCAACGGTGCAGGGAGAGGTGCTACTCCAGATAGAGGAGCCCTTCAATTTTCAGGCACCAGTACAGATGTATTCGGGCCTACGATTAGCTTTTTAGATGTTCCTAGTTTATTCTGTATTACCAATCCTAGCCTCAGCGCAGAAATAGTGGATGTACCTAGTACAGGTACCATAAATACCTCGAGTGGTACACGACCTAGATTATATTTCAAAAAATCTACCGAGACCAATACCTTTGCAGCTGCTAATACCAGTGCAGGAAATGGATGGAAGTGGGTAGAAGCCTCAAATACGTCTTCTCCATTTATCTTCAATTTTGATTATAGTTTATTAAATTCAGCTGTGACGGCAGGTAATGTGATTCAATATTTCATCATAGCGCAGGATAATGTGGGCACAGCCAATGTCAGTGTACAAGGAGCTGCTCTTACTGGCGGCTGCCCAGCTTCTGTGAATATAGCAGGTACTGCCGCTATTACGGGAGCTACGAATGCCAAGTCATTTTCAGTGAACTCTTCACCTCCTGCCTATTCGATAGAGCATACGCCAGCTACATCATGTCAGGGAGATACCCTTACATTGCGTGTCATTCTAGATAGCTCTACAGCAGTCATGAGAACTTATTCGGGATTGAGCACTATAAACTTAGTTTCTACTACGCAGTATTCAGATATCGACACCTTTAGTCTGGGTACAGGTACGAATGTATCAGGTTGTGCAGGTCTTACACCTGCTGCTGGTCCAGCTGCCAATGGCCTACCAGCATCTGTGACGAATAGATATTCTAATTATACAAGTAGTAGCTTTACATCATTGACAGACTTGATAGCTGGAACGAATGTTCCTTTCTATATGACAACGAGTCAAAATTTAAATCCAGCGTCCAATTGGGGTGCTGTATTTGCCATGTACATAGATTATAATCGTAATGGACTCATAGAGCTACCAGCCGAAACAGTTCAAACCGGTAGCTTCGTGGTGAATTCACCTAACTCTACCTGTACCTTCGGTACGGGAAAGGTAAGTGGTACCTTAGCTATACCTACGAATATTGTGAGTGGACCTGCGCTTTGTCGTATAGTAGCGCATACCAATTCGACGACACCTATTACCTCTCTCACTCAGACATCTAACTGGGGAGAAGTAGAAGACTATATCGTGACCCTAAAAGGTCAGCCAGATCCTAACTTCTCTACGCATAAATGGACAACTAATAAAACAGGAACGGCTACAATGGCTACTCAAAACCCTGCTAGATTGCCATCGTTTGATACTACGACTATATATACAGATACCCTTAATTTTGTGGGTTGTAAACTACCTATCACCAAATCTATTACGGTGAATCCTGCGCCGAAGCGGTTGCAAACATTCAATGCTACGCAGTGCGGCGCTGGTATACCTCCAGTTAGTTTTAAAGTTCGTGATTCCAATGGATATACCTTCCCAGTCATCCAGTGGTTTGCTGCTGCAGCTGGTGGTACACCACTACAGACAGGTATTGATACTATTTTCTTAAATCCGATTGGAGCTACAGCTACCTTGTGGGTATCCATACAGAATCCGGGTACGGGATGTTGGAGTGCGAGAGCACCTATCACCCTTACAGTTACGGCATCCGATTCTATCTTAGGTAGAGCGAGTGGCGTAAGAGATACCTTCAGAGTTTGTCAGGGTTCTCCTATAAATTTAACTGCCGTGAACGTGCAGTCAGGTGGAGCTACCAAGTCATTTGATACATTTACTTGGTCTAGTCCTAATTCATCATTTATACCTTCACCTCTTAGCAATCCGACAGGTACGCGTACCATTACACCTACTGCGGGAGGAAACTCTCCTCTATATGTAGATGCGATAGATACTGGTACAGGATGTAGAGCTAGAGATACGCTTCAGCTGATCGTTCAGCCGAATCCATTTACTGGTGGTCAAGCATTTATTACTGCTGCTCCAAATCCTGCGTGTGTTGGTACTCCTATTACCCATAATGTATTTATGGCTGATAATCTGGCAGTGATGCCTACTTATACATTAGGACCAGCTATGACGGTGAACACCCCTAATTATCACCAGATAGATACCTTCCAATTAGGTTCTTTCCTCAATACCTCGGCTTGTACAGGTACTACAGGGGGTGCGGCTTTCGGACTACCTGCCTCAGTAGCTACTCGATATTCTAACTACACAGGCTCTACAGGTCCTGGTGTGATTCAGAATTTGAATGCTAACTCTAGGGTGAATTTTAATATGGTCTTTGCACATACGAATCATACACAGACATGGGGTACTTCAGCTTCCATATTTATAGATTATAACCGTAACGGTACCATAGAACTACCTGCTGAAAGAGCATTTATGACTCCGGCAAGTTCTTTTACTAGTACATCTACTAGTACTACATGTAACCCTACACCTAAACTATCTAGCTTTATAGATGTACCGGGAAATATTGTAAGTGGTCCTACGCTTCTCAGAATAGTAATGGCATTCTTTACGTCTACCACTACTACGCAGGTGACCAATCCGAATACCAACCCTGGTACATGGGGAGAGACGGAAGATTATATCGTAAACCTAGTAGGTGCTGCGGATACAAATAAGACGAAACTCACATGGACGTCGAGCAATACAGGTGCTACTATAATAGGAACTAATACTGTATTAGTCCATCCTGTGGCTGTCAATAACCATAGATATAATGTTCGCATGGTGAATGGTCTATGTATTGATACGCTCAGAGATACCATAAGCACTGTGGTACCGCCATTGGATCTCAATACGATTAATGGAGTAACCTCTGTATGTAGCGGCGAGATCATTCGACTATCTGCTACTTCTACTGGCGGATGTATACCTCATACCTATGCATGGTCTATGCTATCCGGTACGGGTACTATTACACCATTGGGTACTGGAAATCTAAAAGATTCAGTGAGCTTTGCCGCCACCGGGACTACAGGTGCTCGTACTATTCGCTGCATCGTCACGGATAATGCGGGGACGAAAGATACCTCAGACCATGTCTTATCCTTTAATAATCCGACTCCTAGTGCAGTAGTGAAAGATACCATATGTGGTCTGAACTCTGCTACCCTATGTGCTACCAGCTCGGTGACCAGTGATGTACTTCAGTGGTTTAGTTCTCCTACTTCATTCCAGACATTAGCGGATGGAAACTGCTATACTACACCAGCATTGAATCAAGAAACGGTGTTTTATGTGAGACAGTTTACTTCTGTAGTCGATAGTGTACTCCCAAGATTCAATCCTGGAGGTTTCACGCAAGTGGGTACAGCAGGAACGGCCATACCAGGAAATATTGGTAATAGGGTGAGAGCTACCAAGCGTGTGATTATGAAGTCTGTGGATTTCATACCATCTAATACAGCGGCTACGCCTACGACTCCTGTAGCAGGTACTATTAATATTGGGGTGTATGATTTGAGTGGTAATTTAGTAGGTTCTTCGGGAGTGCAAAACATAAGTATTCCAAATGCAGCTTCTAATACAGCGACAGCTTTACCAGTAAGAGTGCCTATGGGGGTATTATTGCCACCGGGAGACTACGATGTGCGAATTATTTCCGCTTCTGCTAGTGTGACTAACGTAGATTATGGTAATAATGCAGGTGGTACAAACTGGGCTCCAGTTTGGACACCGTCAAACAGCTTTGGTATTATACAAGGGACTTATTATGGTACAGCTTATTTAAATATTAACTTCGTATTCTGGAACTACCAGATAGAAGAAGGCTGCTGGGGTGCTCCTATACCAGATACGGTTAAATATGTGGCCCCACCTGTATTGACTTTATCACGTAGGTTGGATTCGGTATGTTCTTTAGGAGCTACTGCACCTGTGACCTTGACGTCTCCTACTCCTGCTTCTACTTATAATTCTTATACATGGACGCCTAATACAGCAATATCAGGGGATAGTGCCACAGGTTATATTTTCTCTGAAACAGCTCCTGCTACACATACTTATGTATTAAGAGCTAACCAAACAGCTGGACTACAATGTGCTTCTACAGATACATTTAGACTAAGAGTGAAGCCAATTCCACCAGTAATTTCTAGAAATCCTACCTCGGCTAGTGTAGATTTATGTAATGGAACGATTCAGCAGCTCGATGCTCTTGGCTTCAGAATGACAGATCACGTAGTGGGTACGGCTACGACTACAGGTACTGGTGCTGGTCAGACTCCATTTATGGGAGGCTGGGGTGGTACGAAATCTCAGTTTATCATTCGAGCCTCGGAGCTTCCATCGGGAGGTACCCCTAAGACGTTGAAATCTATAGCCATGCGCGCTACTACGTCAGCTGCTACCTATGAAGGAGTCCAGATTTATGTAGGTCATACGACTTTGACAGATTTTGCTACCTTCAGCGACATAGATCCTACTACTTTGACGAGAGTCTATGAGGCCAATGCGGCTTTAGCAGCTTATACACCTATATCTACGGGTGCAGGTTTCAATAATACATTTAATTTCGGTACGGCTCCTGCTACACCTCTAGGATCAGCCGTTAGCAATCAATTCATATGGGATGGTATGTCAAATATTGTCATTCTAATGTCTCATAGTGAAAATCCGACGGCAGCCAATGTGGCAGCAAGTAGTTTTGAATACAGCAATCCAGGTTTTATCGCTACAGCTAGAAGGCAAGCAGACAATCAATCGATGGCTGTAATGGCCACGGCTGGTGCCGGAGGTGTTACTGGTACTGCATCTTTCAGACCTAATATGTCATTGAAATTTGAAGACGGGGCGCCAATAACTTGGTCGCCATTGACGAGTCTCTTTACCAATACGGGTGCTAGTGCGCCATATACGGGTACTACTAGGGATACAGTATATGCTAGACCAGTAGATACTATTAAGTATTACGTGACTGCTACTTTCCCGAATGGATGTACACGACAAGATAGTATTATCCTGAATGTAAAAGATTCGATTACGATTAATACACAGCCGGATGCCTTTAAAGCTTTCTGTGCGGGCGATACAATGAAACTCTGCATAGGCGCTACATCTACTAGTCCTATTACGTATCAGTGGAAGAAAAATGGATTGAATATCAGTTCAGGATTAAATCCTTCTGCGGCTACGAGTTGTTTAGTGATTCCGAATAGTGTGGTAGCGGATTCTGGTTCTTATGAAGTAGATATTACTACGGGTGCGCCATGTAGTGGAAAGACTTCTATCCAGTCTACTGTTAAGATTCGTCGTGCAATTACGATTACTACGCAACCAAAGGATACGACCGTATGCGTAGGTTCTCCTCTAGCTGTGATAGCTGCGGCTTCTAATGATACCGCTAGAAAATGGACTCAAATAGGGGGATCGAATACAGGTACTAATAACACCTATTCTACAGCTAGTTCGGTTTATGCAGATAGTGGACGATATTTTATCACCTATTATGCGAATTCACCTTGTCCGGCTAAAAATAGTGATACAGTGACAGTAAAAGTCTTGCCTCCGGCTATGGTTTTAACTGATCCTGCTACACTGACCAATCTATGTATAGGAGATTCTGTGACCCTAAAAGCTACGCATCAAGGTGCGCTAGGCTTCCAATGGTTGAAAAACGGATCGCCTATAGCAGGAGCTACTAAGGATTCCTTTAAGGTAAAGGCAATTACACAAGCGGACTCTGGTATTTATCAAATGATTGTGTTTGCAGCTGTGGGTTGTACTCCAGATACTACGGCTATAACAGCGGGTATTGTGAAGGTAAATCTCCCCGTATCTATAGTCACTCAGCCATTGGCTAAGACATTTGTTTGTCAAAACTCTCCATTCAATGCTAGTGTTACTGCAAATAACACAACAGGATATCAGTGGGAAAAAGATGGTACACCTATTTTTGCAGCGTCCAATGCTTCCTTCACTATAGCTAGTGCTCAGCCTTCTGATGCGGGTGTGTTTAGAGTCCTAGTGAAAGGTATTGCACCTTGTCCAGATGTATATTCTACCAATGATACTCTTGTAGTTACTACATTGGCAGCTATTACCACTCCTCCTACAGCCTTCCAGGTTTGTGAGGATCAATCTATATCAATTACAGGAGCTGCTTCGAATGCAGCCAGCTATCAGTGGTTATTCAACGGTTCTCCAATTGGAGCACCTAATGGTACAGCTCAAACATATACTAAAGGTGGTAGCCCTGCTACTATGCCTGATAGTGGTAGATATTGTTTAGTAGCATTATCTAATAATGCTGGAGCTACAACTTGTAAAGCAGATACTTCTACATGTGTCACAGGTGCAGTAGTTAGAAAAATAGCTATTACCACACAGCCATTAGCTAAGACATTTGTTTGTCAGAATTCAGTATTTAATGCTGGAATCACAGCTCAGAATGTAACCGCTTATCAGTGGAAAAAAGCTGGTGCGAATGTATCTACGGGTACAGGAGGCACGACAGCCAACTATAGCATAGCAAGCACTCAACCAGGAGATGCAGCTATATATACTGTAGAAATGGTGGGTATTTCACCTTGTCCGAATGTGACAAGTACGAATGATACGCTACAAGTAACTACCTTGGCAGCTATCACAACTCAGCCTACAGCATTCCAAGTATGCGAAGACCAATCTATTAGCATAACAGGTGCTGGATCTAATACCGCGAGTTATCAGTGGTTATTCAATGGCTCACCAATCGGTGCTCCAAATGGAACAGCTCAAACATATACTAAAGGCGGTAGCCCAGCTACTATGCCGGATAGCGGAACATATTGTTTAGTTGCATTATCTAGTAATGCAGGTGCTACAACATGTAAAGCAGATACTTCTACATGTGTCACAGGTGCAGTAGTTAGAAAAATAGCTATTACCACACAGCCATTGGCTAAGACATTTGTTTGTCAGAATTCAGTATTTAATGCTGGAATCACGGCCCAGAATGTAACGGCTTATCAGTGGAAAAAAGGCGGAACGAATGTATCTACAGGTACAGGCGGTACGACAGCTAACTATAGCATAGCAAGCACTCAACCAGCAGATGCTGCTATATACACTGTAGAAATGGTAGGTATTTCACCTTGTCCGAATGTGACAAGTACGAATGATACCCTTCAAGTTACGACTTTGGCTGCCATTACTGCACCTCCAGCCTCTGGTACTGTAGTTTGTGAGACACAAGGATTCACATTGAATACGGCAGCAACCAATGCGGCAAGTTATCAGTGGTTAAGAAACGGTTCTGCTGTAGGTGCGAACTCTACTGCATATAGTATAGGTTCTGCTACAATGACGGATAGTGCATTCTATCGAGTAATCGCTAGATCTGCGAATGCAGGTGCTACGGTTTGTAAGGCAGATACTTCTGCTCCAGTATTGGTTACTGTGAATAGAGCTATATCGATTACGACTCAGCCAGCAGCCTTCTCTTATGGATGTATCGGTGCTAGCTTTAATCTAAATGTAGTAGCTCAAAATGCTACAGGATATACTTGGAGAAAAAATGGTACGCCAAATGGTCAGACCAGTTCTACCATGACGATTAATCCTTTTGCATATGCTGATACAGGCAATTACACAGTAGTTATAACAGGAAGACCATCTTGTCCGAACGTAACCTCTACTAATGCTAAAGTAGATCCTACTACAGCTGCTTTCGTCACAGTAGAGCCTGTCAATACGGATGTATGTTTGAACGGTACACTTAATCTAAGTGTAACAGCTCAGGCTGCACAGTCTTATCAGTGGAGAAAGAATGGTGCAAATATCCTAGGTGCAAATTCTAATACATATAGTATACCTAATGCGGGCTATAGCGATGCTGCAAATTATGATGTCATAGCGGTAGCATACTTTGGCTGTACGAATGATACTTCACGTGTTGCAGCGGTCATCGTTAGCACACCATTGGCTATCACTACACCTATAGCGAATACAGATGTGAAGTGTGAAGGTCAAAATATCAGTTATACTACAGGTGTATCGGGTACGAGTCCTTATACTTATACATGGAAGCTCAATGGTTCTGCTGTAGGTACTAACAATGCTACATATAGCAAAACTAGTGTGCTTACCGCAGACTCAGGTCAGTATATAGTATCCATTATAGGTAGTCCAGCTTGTCCTTTGGTTTATGATACATTATTGTTAGATGTTAATAAGTCTCCAGTAGTAAATGTAGCTCCAAATGGTGCTTCACCTATCTGTCTTGGTTCTAATTCTACCTTAAATGTAACGACAAGTAATCAATCAAGTATTGAGTGGCATAAAGTAGGTGCAGGTAATACTGGTCAGACTGGTTCAACCTATAACTTTACTGGTGCGACCAATGCTGATGCAGGTTCTTATTTCGTCATAGCTAAAGCGCAGCCAGCTTGTTCTGATGTTACCTCTAGTCAAGTAACGGTAGCGATTAATACGCCTGCTTCTGTGGCACTTCACCCTATAGGAGCTGCCATCTTAGAAGATCCAGCTGGAAACTATACGATGAACATTATACCAGCGGGTACTGGTCCATTTACTTATCAGTGGTATAGACAAGGCAGTGCGATACTTGGTGCAACTAGTGCTAGCTTCTCAATTACAAACTATGTACCTACTCTAGATTCAGGTTCGTATTATTGTCAAGTAACTGCTCCAGCACCATGTAGTAATACAATCAACTCGAATACAGCCCGAATAACAACGATTAAGTGCCCTGCGATAGTAACTAACCCTACTAAGACAATAAATGTTTGTGCAGGTGGTGCGTTTAGTTTGGATGTGACTGCTACAGGAGTGAAAACTTACCAGTGGTATAAAGGAAATGCAGCTATACCAGGTGCTACCTTTGCTAACTTCTCTATTCCGAAAGCGAATCCTTCACATACTGGTGTATACAGATGTAGATTGTTTGCATTTAACGATGCTACTTGTAACATTACGTATTCTGATTCTGCTGTTGTAACGGTGAAAGATCAACCTATCATTACACAGCAACCTCAAGGAGTCTCTTCATGTGCGGTATCTACTCATACTATGACTGTAGCTGCTACTTATGGTGAGAACTATCAGTGGTATAAAAATGGAATAGCGATTTCACCAAATGGTGACGGTCCTTCTTATACATACAATAACGTGAATCTGATAGGTGACGAGTTTTATGTGAAAGTAGGTAATAATCTTTGTCCTGATGCTACTTCAGATAAAATTACCTTGAAGAATGTAAATCCTTCTAGTCAGGTATACTTAACAGGTTCTACCGTGTTTAACCTAGTAGAGCGTTGTGAAGATGCTAACGGATGGACATACTACGCTACTTCAGCTCAGAGTGAGCAATTACTCATGGCTATTAAGAAGAAAAACAACGTATTCACTGCTAGTCCAGATATCGAATTGATGGGTAATATCCGTGAGATTTCACCTCTAAACAAAGAGAATAGAGGAGCTATCTTAGGCCCAGCCTTATTCAATCTTGATATTACAGGTCAGATAACAGAGCCTTATGAAGTGAAATTCTTCTACTCTAATGCAGATGCAGATTTAGTTATGGCTAGATTCAATCAAATAAGATTGGCTAATGCAAGTAACTTTACTACAGAACGTTCAGATTTAACGTTTATTCTTAGTACTCAGAGACCATTTACAAGTTCTATATGGAAAAATTTAAGTATTCCTTTAAATATCGAGCATACGATTTCTCACAAGGATAAGGAGTTCGGTGTAGAGAATAATGTAAGCTATGTGATACTTAAGAATCTAGTGAGTACGAAACTAGGTGGAACAGCCTTTATGGACTATAAGTTGAAATCTAGTTCTAGTATTACTTCTACCACAGCTAGTGGATTTGGATTCTCTCTCTATCCTGTTCCTTCTACAGACGGTAAATTGACTGTAGATATTAGCAGTAAGCGCTTGAAGCCAATTACATTTACTGTCACTGATATGACAGGTAGAGTAGTCGCTATATTCAATGAAAAGCATACGAGCCTCGAAAGCTCACATGCGTTTGACTTTAGCCAGCTTTCAAATGGAAACTATCAGTTGATGATTTCAAATGATGAAGAATCAGCTATAGGTAAATTTACCATATCTAAGTAATCAAATCATTGCACTAAAAATAGTGTATATATTGAAAGGTTTCAGAAAGCCGCTCTCGCAAGGAGCGGCTTTCGCTTTTCTATTACTTAGCTGGTTTTGCATAATATTGAATACATAGACCTAATAAAATCTAATGCCTAGCTAAACCAAAATAGCTAAGTTTGTGTCTTAGTATAAATCCTACATATGAGTCACAAATCAAATCCAGCAGATATCATCTTGATGAAAGACGTTTCACTTTATCAAAATGATTTTCAGGTGCTGCGGGAGGTGAACTTAAAATTAAAGGAAGGAGAATTTGCCTACCTTATCGGTAAAACGGGAAGTGGAAAAAGTACACTATTGAAGTCTTTGTATGGAGCCTTGCCAATTCTCAGTGGTGATGCACAAGTGGCTGGCTTCGATTTGAAAAAAATTAAGACGAGTAATCTTTATACCTTGAGACGTTCCTTAGGTATTGTTTTTCAAGATTTTCAATTATTGACCGATCGTTCGGTTATCAAGAATCTAGAATTTGTACTACGGGCCACGGGTATTACGAATAAGGCCGATATTAGTATGCGTATCAGCAATGTATTAACCCTAGTCAATATGAATGACAAAGGCTATAAAATGCCACACCAGCTTTCTGGCGGCGAGCAGCAACGTATAGTCATTGCACGAGCACTTCTTAATAGACCTAAGCTTATCCTGGCCGATGAGCCCACAGGTAATTTAGATCCAGATACATCTGATGAGATTATGAAACTTTTAATTCATATAAATAAAAACCATAATACAGCTATTCTTATGGCTACACATAACTATCAGCTCATAGAGAAATACCCTTTTAGACTGATAAAAGTAAGTGGAGGTAAGGTAATAGATGAAGATACTTATTTTAGTTAACGTCACAAATTAGACAGCTAGCATTAATAGAACCATTCTCTTGACAAAACGTATATTTAAGTACTTATTGAGATTAATTCTAGCAATTTTTTTATTGCTGGGTATAGTTATAGTCGCTATCCAATTCCCATTTGTTCAAAATAAGCTCGTCCAATTAGCATCCGAGAGCTTATCGAAAACTATGAACACGGAGGTGAGCGTAGGGAATGTATCCATTGATTTTTTAACGAGAGTCAATCTAAATGATGTATTAATTCGGGATTATAAGAAGGATACTTTAATCTATGCTGGGCATGTATCCAATAAATACCTTCTTAAAGTTGATTTAAAAAAACCATTTCAATTTAATGGAGAGAAGTTGATTTTATCAGATGTTAAGTTCTATCTAGACAATACAGTGCAGGATAGTATTTTTAATCTTACTAAAACTTTTAAACGATCAAATACAAAATCTAAGGATACCACGGGTAAACTCACTACTCAAAAAGAAAAACCAAAATTAGATTTTCTTAGATTGGGACAGTTAAACTTAAATAATGTAAGTTTTAGGCTTCGAGACCGCTATAATTATCAAACGATTTCATTCCATTTAGAACAGTTGGATCTAGATGCTAAGAAATGGAAATTTTCTGATTCCATATGGCAAATGGGTGATCTTCGAATTCAAAGACCCAAGGTTTCTATTATTCAGCACCCAGCGCCCTATACGCCTAAGTCCTATAAACCAGAATATCTGCATTTACCATTTCAATTACATTTGGATCATTTGAAATTGGAACAGGCACAACTTAGGATATATAATGAAGAAATTAAAGCCATTTCTAATGGTCAGCTCTCCTTTACCGACTTAGATGTTAAAAATATATTCTTAGATGCCGATGCTGTCGAGCTGCGAAGTGGTTCCATAGCCGGAGAGGTAACTCATATGCGTGCTATGGAGAAAAGTGGTCTTGAAATTAAAGATTTACGTACTCGGTTTTTTATGAATTCATATAAAACAGAAGCGAAAAAATTAGTATTTAAAACGAATAATTCGAAGATAAAAGGCTATCTGCGTTTTAACTATAACCACATGCGAGAGTATCTTCGATTTGCAGCGTGGGTCAAGGTAACGGGTGATGTCTCAGAGAGCAATTTAAGTTTGAAGGACCTTGCATATTTCTCCCCAAGCCTGAAAAATTGGTCTCATCTAGATGTCAAGTTTAATGCTGTGGCTCGTGGTACCATGAACGAACTAATGCTCAATAATCTCAACGCTTCGCTCAATGAAAATAGCATTAAAGTGAATGGTAAAATGAAAGTGTTAGATTTGTTTTCTGGAAAAGGATTGAATACTATAGCACAGTTAAATAAATTCAGTTTTGATAAAAAAGATGTCGAGTTTATATTTCAAAAAAAGGGATTACCAGTAGAGATTGATAGACTCGGAAGAATGACTTATGATGGTGAATTTAAAGGCAATCCAACGAAGTTTACCTTAAATGGAAAACTACAATCTAGACATGGGAGTGGGGTTTTGAAGGAGACGACTTTTGATTTTACCAATCCAAATCTTCCTAAGTATAAGGGCGATATACAAGTTCAAAATTTAAGACTAAACGATATTATAGCCGGAGGAAGTCCTATAAATGCTCTTACAGCTAAGGCCTATATAGATGGAGAAGGCTTTAGCGTTCAGAACCTCAATTCATACATTAAAGCAGATGTAGCTCATGTCCATATCAATGGAACAGAGTATAATCAATTTAAAGTAGATGGAAAATTGACTGAGAAAATTTTCCAAGGAGATATTAAATCGTTAGATCCTAGTCTTAGTTTTCATGCCAGCGGAACTGTTTCTATGAATGAAGCTATTCCTAAATTAGAATTACAAGTAGATTTAGAAAATGTAGATCTTCAGAAACTGGGATTGACAAAAAAGAAACTTCATCTTTATGCTAATGTCTATGGAATAGGCCGAGGTAAAAATCTAGATGAAATGCTAGGTACTATGAACCTAAAGGACATGTATGTCATGGATAGATCCAAAGAGAATAAAATGTATGGATTTTCTAATCTGACAGTTGAAAAAGATGTGTTTGAAGAATCTGGCAATAAATATATACAATTGAATTCCGACGAAGTGCAGGCCAGTTTAATTGGTCAATTTAAGGTCTCAGATATCCCAAACCTAATGACTGATTATTTCCTCAGTTACTTAGCTATAAATAAAAGTAAAAATGTGCAGCGAAGTTATCAATCTACTTTTTTTAATCTAAGTCTAGATATTAAGAATATAAATAATTATTCAGTTGTCCTGCATCCTTCTCTGAAAAATATAGCTAAAGGTAGACTTAATGCTCGATTTAATGGTATGGAAAATAAGATGACCATAGACGGAAATTTCGAGCAAACAGAATATCTAGGATTCAAATTTCCAAAATTGAATCTGACAAATGTATCGAGCAATACAGATTTTCAAACAACGTTAAGTATAGATAGTGTTTATTTTGAAAATAAACTAGCAATAACACCATTTAAAGCCAATTTGAAACAAGCGAATGATGGTTTGAATCTAAGCCTGGAACTGCTCAATCGTACGGATGATAAATTTGTAGATTTTAATAGCAATATCAAGAAAGACGGCGATGATTATTATTTTCATATCAAACCATTCAATTCCTATTTTGGTAGAAAAGTATGGTCATTGCATCCAGATAATTTAATTAGACTGAATCTTAAAGATAAACTCCTTCAAGTAGAAAATTTAGAGTTGTTTAAAGATATACAGAGTATAAAATTCACTAATAATTTAAATGACAATAAGTCTATTCTCGCTAATTTTGAAGAGGTCAAACTAGAGGAATTGATTAGTGGGTTCTTGCCTATTCTGAAGACATTTAAAGGTCAATTGAATGGTACAATTCAAATCTCTGATATTCTTACGAATCCTAAACCCATTGCTAATTTAAAAGTAGGTAAGATGATGTGGGATAGCGAAGAGATAGGAGATCTGGACCTGAGCAGTAATTTGGAAAATGAGATAGTACACTCCAAAATATCCTTGTTTGGAGAGAATTACAAGCTTAAATCAGATGTTTACTTTAATGCAAAAACAGGAGTAGATTCACTCTATGCGGTTAATAAATTGGAACGGTTTAAGCCAGCTATACTCAATAAAATATTGAATACATTGGTCTATGAGATGGACGGCAATATACATGGTGAATTTTCTATATTCGGACCATTAAATGCATTGAATGCCGAGGGTGTCATCGAACTTGATAGTTTTAATACTGGACTGCATACTATTTATACTAAGTATCAAGCGCAGAATCAAAAAATTTTCATACAACCTGGAAAGTTTATTTTGGATAAGTTTAAATTTAGTGATGAAGAAGGCAACGAAGCGGAAGCTAATGGTTTTATAAATTATAATCATTTGAAACGATTTGATTTATTTCTAGATGCTCATTCGCCCAAATTGCTCTGTATGAATTCTACCGCTTCAAATAATAGCACAATTTATGGCAAGGTCTATGCAGATGCGGATATAAAATTTAGAGGCACTATAGGTGATCGTATTTCTATCCTGGCCAAAGGGCGAAATTTACCAAATTCTATATTACATGTTAACTTAGAGACCGCTCAAAAAACAGGGAAGTATGGGTTTTATGAATTTATAGAGAAAGATACGAGCAATATATTAAGCAATATAGTCGTTCGCCAATCTAGAAAACTCGGAGGTGTCAATTTGGATTTCGATTTTGATATCACCAAAGATGGAAAATTATTTATCATCATGGATCCAAGTATTGAAGATAGGATAGAATGCAATGGGCAAGGTAGAATAGCCTTCAAAATGACCCCAGAAACGGATATGGATATCAAAGGCTCCTACGAGATTTTTTCAGGCACCTATTTATTTACCTATCAGAATGTAGTTAGAAGAACATTTTTCCTCAATAAGGGAGGGACTATGACTTTTGTCGGTGATCCGAGTGCCGCTATCATCGATGCCTCAGCTACATTTACCACCCGAGCTAGTGCGCAGGAGCTCATTTCTGCATATTTCGGCAATACAGATAATTCTAGAATCATTAGCGCGGCAAAGAGTACTGTAAAAACGAGCATTATTCTTAAATTAAAGAATAAAATAATGAAACCAGACATCTCTTATGAACTCAATATAGATCAGAATAATCCTGAGGTGGTGAGTGCATTTGAATCCATTACCTCTACCACCAAAAATAACGAAGCCGAGCTGAATAAACAGGTCATGGGGTTATTAATGTTTCAGCGATTTTTCCCACCTACCTTTACTGGTTTTTCTCAGAATCAGAATCCGAATAATGCGGTGAGTTCTGATTTACAAAATACTGCATTTGATGTAGTTACAGGAAAATTATCTGGTTATGTTACGGACTGGATGCAAAATACCTTTAAGGGAATGAATTTCGGTCTTTCATATAAAAATTACAATCAATTAAATCAAGGCGATAATTTAGCGAACACAAGAAATGAGTTTAAGATAGCTATTTCACAAAGGCTTTTAAATGACCGATTAGTCTTTAATGTCGGGGGAAATTATGATTTCGGGCGAGGTCAGTTTAGTAATAGTAATACAAATACAGCATTTTTCGGAGGAGATGTTGATTTAGAATATTTATTGACACCCTTAGGAAATGTAAGAGCCAAGTTTTATTCCACATTATCTAATGACCCTTTGAACTCCGTATATATCAATAAAACAGGAGCGGGTATACTTATTCAAAAGGACTTTGATGAATTTAATCAATTGTTTAAGAAAAACAAAATGAAGTAGTTCCTTCAATAGAATTAGTCTTGAAAATGTTTGAAAATTTAAAAGTAGTAGAACTAGCTAGTGTTTTAGCTGGACCTATGGTTGGTACCTTCTTCGCCGAATTAGGTGCAGAGGTTATAAAAATTGAGAATAAATCAACACATGGAGATGTGACCAGAACTTGGAAACTTCCCAACGAATCTTCTCAATTGAATTTTTCAGCCTACTTTGCTGCTGCCAATTATGGCAAACAATCTCTATTTTTAGATTTGAAAAATGAAGCTGATTTTTCTCAAGTACTAGAATTAATAGCTGTTGCTGATATTCTCATAGTCAATTTTAAAGTAGGTGATGCCGCGAAATTAGGACTCGATGCAGTGAGCTTAAGAGCTAAGTTTCCTAAGCTAATATATGCTGCTCTCACTGGATTTGGAGAAGACGATCATCGAACGGCCTTCGATGTAGTGCTTCAGGCAGAGACGGGTTATATGTCTATGAATGGCGAAAAAAATAGCAAACCGCTCAAGATGCCGGTGGCTATGATAGATTTATTGGCAGCGCATCAGTTAAAAGAAGGCATTTTGTGTGCTTTGATACAACGGGGGCAGACAGGAAAAGGAGCCAAGGTCTCTTTATCTCTATACGATGCCGCTATAGCTAGCTTAGCCAATCAAGCCACAAATTATTTGATGGCTCAGTCTATTCCAGAAAGAATAGGTTCAGAACATCCAAATATTGCTCCTTACGGCGATTTATTTCAAACCAAGGAGAAGGATTGGATCGTTTTAGCTGTGGGCAGTGATAAACAATTTGTAGATTTATTAAGGGTTTTAGATTTGTCAGAAATATTAAGTGATGAAAAGTATATAACGAATGCATCTCGTGTAGTGCATAGGCAGGATTTGAATGCTACTTTAGCTTCGACTATAGGAAACTTGACCACCGAAAAGCTAGAGACCCTTTTGGCCTCCAAGAATATACCCTATGGACGTGTGAAAAATATGGCAGAGGTATTTGCTCAGACCAGTGCGCAAAACCTAATATTGGAAAATCAAATAGACGATAGCACTACCAAACGAGTAAGAACCGCCATTTTCAAATTAGATTAGCCATTTCACAACTAGTGAATCTTCTCATTTTTTAGTAAAAAAATGGCTTGAATTCACTTACTTTTGTTGATTGAATAATTTCAAGTAACCTCTCATCATGATTAAAATAGATTCTCATACACATATTATCCCAGAAAATTTGCCAAAATGGACGGAGAAATTTGGGTATGGAAATTTTATTCACCTCGACCATTATCGGTCAGGCTATGCGAGAATGATGCAGGGTGATAAATTCTTTCGAGAAATTAAATCAAATTGCTGGGATGCTGGGATGCGCATAAAGGAGTATACAGAATATCAAACACAAGTGCAAGTAGTCTGTACAATACCCGTTCTATTCGGATATCATGCTCAGCCTAAACACGGCTTAGAAATTTCTGAATACCTAAATGATGATATTGCAGAATTGGTGACTAAGTACCCGAAAAACTATATCGGATTAGCTACCATACCAATGCAAGATCCAGAACTCGCTATTCAGGAACTGGAGCGATGTAAAAAACTAGGATTTAAAGGCATCCAAATAGGATCGAATATCAATGACAAAAATCTCAGTGAAGACGAGTTTTTTCCCATATTTCAAGCGTGTGAACGCCTCGATATGGCCGTGATGGTGCATCCGTGGAATATGATGGGCAAAGGACAGATGGATAAATATTGGCTGCCATGGTTAGTAGCTATGCCGGCAGAGACTACCAGAGCAGCTTGCTCTATGATATTTTCAGGAGTGCTTGAAAAATTGCCAAGTTTAAGGGTATTGTTTTCACATGCAGGAGGAGCGTTTATTTTTACCTTAGGTAGAATAGAGCATGGCTTTAACTGTCGCCCCGATCTAGTAGCTATAGATAATCCCGTACCTCCGAGTCATTATTTGGGGAAATTTTGGGTGGATAGTATCACACATGATGCTGATGCCTTGCGTTATATTATTTCTAAAGTAGGTACAAAGAAAATCTGTCTTGGTAGCGATTATCCTTTTCCTCTCGGAGATTTGGAAATAGGAAAGTTTATTACTGAAATGGGCTTGGGGGAAAGTGAAGTAGAAGATATATTCCAAAACTCTATAGTTGATTGGTTGAATCTAGATTTGAATTTGTATAAATAGAGTTTGAGGGTTGTATCACAAAGTTCCACGAAGAAGGCACAAAAGACACTAAGAAAATAATGGTGAATAAAAACAAGTAAGCGTGTGATTATGAATAAGGAAATTTCTTTGTGCAACTTTGAGGGATTTAGTGAACCTTTGTGTAATAGATTTGTATGGTTAGTTGTAAATTAAGAAAAATTTTTGTAAAATAGCATTTAAGAGAAAACAAAAATGAAATATACAGAAGATGAACTTTCAAATATTATATTAGGTTGTGCTATTGAAGTTCATAAGAAACTTGGTCCAGGGTTGCTAGAGTCTGCCTATCAGGAATGTTTATTTTTTGAGCTTGTAGAAAAAGGTTTAGAAGTAGTAAAAGAGAGGCCTATGCCAATAGTTTATAAGGATGTAAAACTCGACCACGGATATAGGCTAGATTTGTTAGTTGAGAATAAAGTAGTTATAGAAATTAAAACAGTTGAAGCATTTTCGGATGTTCATTTTGCTCAAGTATTGACTTATCTAAGATTGGGGGAGTTTAAACTAGGTCTGCTTTTAAATTTTCATGTAACTTCGTTGAAACAAGGAATTAAAAGAATTATAAATTGATTGTTATCATAAATGTTAAGTACCAAAGATTTAAAATTTGAATACACACCGCAGGTTAAATTTAGTTTTCCTGATATCGAATGCGCCGCAGGAGATAGCTTGGTCATAACCGGAGAGTCAGGTTCTGGAAAAACGACTTTACTTCATTTATTAGGTGGGTTAATCAAGCCAAAATCTGGCAAGGTCATTCTGAATGAAACGGAGGTAAATGTTTTAGATGGATCTTCATTAGATAAATTTAGAGGGAAACACATTAGTATTATTTTTCAGAAAATGCATTTCATCTCCTCGATTTCTGTTTTAGAAAATATTCTTCTAGCTCAATGGTTAGGGACAGAAAATAAAAATAAGGATCATGCCATGCAGATTCTAGAAAAACTCCAAATCGCAGATCAAAAAGATAAAAATATCAAGCAGCTTAGTCAAGGACAGCAACAGCGAGTGGCTATTGCTAGGGCTTTAATTAATCAGCCTAGCTTAATTCTAGCAGATGAACCTACTTCGAGTTTGGATAATAAGAATGCAGAGATTGTCGAAAAATTATTAAGAGAATCCGCACAAAATATGAATGCAGCTTTGGTCATAGTAACACATGATATGCGAATGAAACAGAATGCAAAAAACACCATCGAATTGTTATGATTATTTGGCTAGCCTTTAAGAATATTTTCCATAAACCGCTGCATGCAGTTTTGAATATTATCATATTCGCTACTGGAATCGGTATTATTACTATGCTCAGTTTAGTGCAGCGACAATTTGAAGATAAATTTGAAAAAAATATAGAGGGTATAGATATGGTCATGGGTGCTTCAGGTAGCCCATTACAGCTTATTTTATCAGCCGTATATCATATCGATGCGCCTACTGGGAATATCCCTTTAGAAGAGGCGGAAAAATGGATGAAGCACCCATATATAGCCAAGGCAGTGCCTATGGCTTATGGAGATTCGTATATGAGTTTTCCTATGATAGGTTCTGACAGTAGTTACTATCAGCACTTCAGCGCAGACTTAGCATATGGAAAGTTCAATAAGGAAAATTATGAAGTGGTCGTGGGCTCTGAAGTAGTGAATAAATTGAAATTAAAGTTAGGAGATAAATTTCATAGCACCCACGGACAGCAGGAGGGTGGAGAAGAGCACGAAGATATAGAATGGGTGGTCACTGGAATACTCAAACCTACTGGCAAGGTCATAGATAGAATGATCGTATCGAATATAGAAAGTGTGTGGGATATACATGGAGAAGGTGGATGTACCCATGATCACGAAGAGGGTGAAGAATGCCATCATCATAACCATGAAGCAGGTAAAGAAATTACGGCGGTTTTGCTCAAATATAGAAATCCTATGGCAGCCTTGCAATTGCCACGTCTCATAAAAGAGCAATCCAAAAATATTCAATTAGCTCAGCCCGCAATAGAAATTAACCGTTTGTTTTCGCTTTTAGGTATTGGTCTCGATGCTATTCGCTATTTAGCCTATTTCATCATGGGTCTATCGGCCATTAGTATTTTCATATCAATTTATAATACCTTAAAAGAGCGAATGTTTGAATTGGCTATGATTCGCACATTAGGTGGCTCCAAGTTCAACGTATTTAGCCTTATTTTAGCTGAAGGGATATTGTATAGTATTTTTGGTTATCTAGCTGGGTTCCTTATGGGAGTTGTTGGTTATAAAATGGTGGCTATGTTAGCCGAGAAAGAGTATCAACTCTCCTTTGGAAATTTACCTATAGATTTCACACAACAGTTTATGCTGTTTGGTATCTCCTTATTTATTGGATTTTTAGCAGCTATTTTCCCTGCTATCAAATCTTATTTCATTCAAATATCTTCAACACTAGCTCATGAATAAATGGATTAAAGGCTTATTTGGTTTTGTCTTTCTCACTCTGGTTTTCAGCAGCCACAAACCGTTAGTGAATGATGAGTCCGTGGAGATTGCGAATGCCAATGCCTTGCACCTAGCGACGAACGAAGTTAAATACAATCTTGAGGAAATGTATGCCGAGGAACATATTTTAATGGATAAAGATGTGGAAACCGTGGTCACTTGGAATACCCTTAAAAACGTGCGCTACGAAGAAAAACCAGACCCTACCTATAAAGTGGTCTATAAGCCTATCTATGGTAAAACCATAAGAGAGCTGGAGGATAAAACCATACAAATTAAAGGTTTTATAATACCAATAACCTCCAATACGTTTGCCCTAAGTAAGAACCCTTTTGCAGCATGCTTTTTCTGTGGTCAGGCTGGTCCAGAAACGGTTATGGGTATTCAGTTTAGAAAATTAAAAGATAAATTGAAAACGGATATGTTCGTCACGCTAAAAGGTAAGTTTATACTCAACTATGACAACCCTGATGACTGGATGTATCATATCATAGATGCAGAGATTATAGAGATAAAATGAAAAAGTAGTCAGTCGCAGTAGATAGTCACAATTGGTATATGTTAGATTCACTGTTTATTAATAATTCTTCTAGACTAGAGTTATATCCACTATTTCAAAATTCAGCGATAAGTCATGCAAAAAAAATCAGTTGCTTTAGAGGGCGAAGCCCTCTCCCCCTGTTCCTTCGGCGCCGCAAGGCGCCGAAGTATGATAACATGGAATTGCCAACCAACAGGGAATTGTCAATTAGACCGATGGACATTAAATATAATCAGTATAAATCACCTTTTTAAAAAATAATATGCTCATTCAAGATTGGGGATTGATAGATTACAAGGATGCGGAGACGAAGCAGCTAGCTTTATTCGAAGAGAAATTAGATGCTAAAGCAAAGAAAATTTCTTCAGAAAACTATCTAAATTTATTAGAGCACACTCCTGTTTACACCTTAGGCAAAAATGCCGATGAAAAAAATATTCTACCTATTGCTAGAACTTCTGGGGCTAGTTTTCACCATATCAGTAGAGGAGGGGATGTGACTTTTCATGGACCAGGTCAGTTAGTGGTCTATCCCATTTTAGATTTACAAGATTTCAATATGGGCGTACGAGCCTATGTCACTGCATTGGAAAATATTGGTATTGAATTATGTGCATCGTACGGCATAGAAGCTAAGGCCTCTGATGAAGAAGGAGTATGGGTAGATTATGGTACACCCAAAGCTCGAAAAATAATGGCTATAGGTATCAAAGTCAGTCGCTATATCACTATGCACGGCATTGCATTTAATGTCAATACCGATTTGAATTATTTTAGTTTCATTATCCCTTGCGGAATACCAAATAAAGGTGTCACTAGTCTGCAACGAGAACTAGGAAGAGAAATAGATATGAAGGAGTTTAAAGAGAGGTATGTGGAGGTATTTAGAAAGTATTTTGAATCGGTTAAATGAGGGTAGTAGTATTTGTTTTAATCTATTTTGTTACTACATTTCTTTATGGTCAAGTTGATAATGATCATTATAGATTCATACAAAGTGTTCACACCATTGGAGTAAATGAAGTTACGAAAGACTCAATTAATGCAGAGGACATAAGTTTTGTTAACAATATTTCAGATTTTGTCTTCGATACGGCTAATCAAGTATTGTTGTCGTATTTTGCTTTGTATGCTAATGAAGGAGGCAAAACAAATTATGATTATATAACAGCCTATTCAGCGAGAGAAAAAAAGATCTTGTGGTCAAAATTAATTGATAGAACTAAAGAGAAATATGATTTTATAGATGGTAAACTTTTTTTCAATTCCTTTAAATTCAGCGGTCTAGTTGATATTTTAAAAGATACATTAATATGGAAGAAGAAATCAAATATTTTAGTGCATCCTGATTTGATAGCAAAAAATATCGTATTAGCCCCAAGGTATAAAAATATTGATGGAATTAAAGTCTGTGCAGCACTTAATGCAATTAGTGGAGAGCCATTCTGGATAAATGATAGTTTAGAGTTAAAAATGGGTATTGTTTCTGAGCCAATAGTTAAAGGAGATAATTTAATTTTCTTAAATGAACAACTCATTCAACTTAACTTAAATTCTGGAAAGTTTTGGAAGAGTGAAAACTATATGAATCGAATCTTAGGAAAAGATGAAAAAATTATTGGAGAAATAGGTTTAAGTATACTTAGTAGTGCAATCGGTTTTGGCATTGCGAGTGCTATTGGGTCAAGTATAGTTCCTTATTCTTTTGTAGATATGGGTCCAGCTGGTCTGAAAACTAATGCCCCTCTCTATATTAATGATTCTGGTTTTATATATGTGGTTGGTATAGAAGGTATGCGAAAGTATAACAAGGAAGGTGAAATGTTAGTTACGATTGGACATACGAATAAAAATAATATTGAAAAGATTTTGATAGCGCGAAATCAAATGTACTACTCAGATCCAGGCGACTGTATCTATAATAATGTTAAGAAATCTATTTTTAATTCTTCTTTTTATTTGAGTAAACTAAGTAGTAATTTAGAAACTGAGAAGAGTTTTCATTTAGCGGATGAATATGAAAATCTCTATAAAGAACTGGGCATTTATCATATAGAGACAGAATATTTTAATGACACTTTTTATGTATTATTTCGAAATGGTGTTTTAGTATTGGACACTAACTTGAGAATTGCTGGAAAATTTTCCAGGACTAAAAAAGAAGACCCAGAGTATCGAAATTTATTGCTAGGCAATATTTACGAATTTTTGGATTCTCTTTGGCTAAAACGAAATTATAATGAAGGTTATATTTATCTAGAAAGATTGGATAAAAGTATCGATGTGATTAATTCTAAATTTCAATTTGTTCGTAATATTTCTCGAAAAAATATTTATAAAATCAATTATCAGGATGAACTAT